TTCAACTTCGGGCTTCCTGCAGACCACCTAGCACAAGGCGCACTGGCAGCGCTTCCGCAAGGATCACCACATAACGAATGAATTGCTGGACGCTGCCTCTTGATTTATACTTCTGTTGGCCGCTGGTCTGCCTCTTTCCACCTGGCCCTTGGTGCACACAGTTCCACACGGTACTTGCTTGACTGGACTGAGTGTGGCTGGGACCGGTACCGCTGACTGCACGGGGTTGCACTGCCGACTCAACGCAGTTGGACTTACGACTTGCCTACAGACCTCTAGCCTAGCAGTTTCGACCTCTACACAGCGGTAACCCCTACTTGACAGTTCTACAGATCGAATCCTTACAGCTACAGGGAACGACAAAGAACAGTCACTACTAAAACACAGGTCGCGGGCTCAAACACACAGGGGTCTACTCGATACTGTACACGGATGCAGGTAAGGTCTAGGGATCGACCCCTGGGATCTGCATCCGCTTCTGCAAAGGTGAAAACCGTTTCATATTCAAACAAGAAATAATAATCATAATGTTGTATGGCTGAACCAGAATCAATGTCCGAATCCCTCTTCTACTGCAGGCATCACATGAGGTCCACCATAGCCATGGCCACCCTTCTTCCTCCTTCTCTCACGGCCGAGGCTATGGCGGACTACCAGGGCACCGCCCTGCTGTGCAAAGGACAACACAAAGCAGCTATGGCTGCTCNTTCTTCCTCCTTCTCTCACGGCCGAGGCTATGGCGGACTACCAGGGCACCGCCCTGCTGTGCAAAGGACAACACAAAGCAGCTATGGCTGCTCTAGCTCAGGCCGCCATGCCTGAGTCTGCCTTGAAGCTTCTTGGTGCAGCTCTACCCCAACGGGGGCCTTCCAGATGCAGCGCCCACCAAGGTGATGAAGATGGTATCCACGATAGCCAGATAAGTACCTCTGGCGCTCCTCCCTCCTAGTCCTGGTCTTCTTCTTCCTCCTGTCCTTGCTCCTCCCCAGCAGCGCTGCTCCAGCCAGTGCTCCAACCAGTGTGTCGCCAAACTTGCACACCGACAATGAGGTGTGCTCCTCCTGGAGATATAGCGGCCTGCTTGCCTCTTGGCGAGTGACTTCCTAGGCCGCACGGCCTCCAAGCAGCTGGCACCTCCTCCCTTTCGGAGGGAAACATCATTGCAGACTCTGATATTGCCCGTACAAGCCCTAGACTCAGACTGGTTGGACTGGTACCTGCCTAGACCTAGCCTACAACTACTGGGCCTCTAAAAATGCCAACTTTTGTCTTCTTCTGCTCGGCCTCGAGTACCCGGCACATCTACCTCTACTTGGTGTGGTACCGGCCTACCTGCTACTTGAGTGTTTTCCCACTGCCCTAAGTGTCGTGGGCCTCGTGCCCCGCCGTTTGAGTGTTTTCCCCCTGCTGCAACCCTCAATGTCACGGCCACAGGTAAGTACCGGCCCTTCGGGCCGTCTGAACAAGTGCCCTTGCAGGTCACACACACACACTCAAGCCGACAAGTACTCAGACAGGCATGCAGACCAGCAAGCACGCACCCACACATACTTACAAAACTCAGCAACAAGTGGGAAACTCAGTAAGGCATACATTCCATGAGCAAAACTCAGAAATCAGCTGTGTGTCTCAGTCAGTGTTTGGCAGGTCATTACAGAACACTTGTCCTTGTGCCTGTTAGCCGCCACTACGAAAGTTTTAGAATCTTTGAGAACAACAGTTTTGCTCATGGACAAGGTTGGCCGGAACGCTCAGTCCTGCCTCAGATCCCAAGCCCTTGGAGCATACAGCAATGCCAAAGCCTAGTTGGTAGTTGTAATTCCATTATTAAGAATCCGGTCCGAATGTCTCATGTATCCTTCTGGGGCTATAGCAAATGGCTTCGTAACAGCTCGGCTCAGCTGTATTCATCCAAGCCAAAGCATTTCTACAGTGATTGACATCAGGAAAGTTCTTCCCTCTTCCCCACCAACTGGCCTAGCTCAGTTGGTACACCCCTGCCTGTACTGAACTGTTGAAATACCGACCTGAGTTCGAATTCTGGTGGGTGCAGAGGAGTAAAATCTACAATTTCTGAATTACCTAGGGCGGTCGGTTCGACTATGATCTCTCAAGGCCATCCTTTTCAAAAAGAAAAACAAAAAAAAAATGAAAGTTCTTCCCTGTATGCATGTGCAGTTGTGTTGTGTGCACGACCATACACTGTATAGAGGGTGAGCAAATGTGAGCTGCCCTGTATGTACTGTGCAGTGGCAGTGTGTATACACTGTATAGAGTGTGTGCAAATGTGAGCTTCCCTGTATGTACTGTGCAGTGGCGGTGTGTATACACTGTATAGAGGGTGTGCAAATGTGAGATAATGGGTCTATGTGGACCTCTTACCTTTGTTCTGAGACCCCAGCAAGATGATGGCCCCATTGGTGGAGATGCGGGAGAGGCACATTGGCTGGCATTTGCTGAATTCCTTCCACAATACAATGCAAAAGAATCCGTAAGAAAACACAAAAAATCTGCGAAATAAATCCAAACAATAATGATTAATTTCACACAATATGTAGGTCCTTTTCAGTTAAATTATGGATTTCCCTTCTCACTGTTCTCAGATATGTAGGTGGACAGAGTGAGGTGACAAGTTGAGAGAAGACTATCGCTTAGTTTTTTCATCCCCCCCCCCCCCCC